TCCCTGCAACAAGAACCCGGGCTGGAGCCACTGCAGCCTGCCACCCACTGCTGGGGGCTGGCCTGCCAGTGGGCCCCCCTGGAGCCTGCCCTCCTCCCCCTGCACACAGAGAGGTTAGAAAGAAGGGCTGGTGGCTCCAGGCTGTGCCAGGGCAGGGCCTGAGCACCGGCAAACCCTGCGGCACCGGATGGTCTGACCTGACCCGACAGGCACTTTGTGGACAGGGCCAGCACAGCAAGTCAAGGATTTGGTTCATGTTCTCCCCCTAAGCTGCACACACCTCTAAAGGCAGTGAGCTCTGTCTCAGCATTTGCCCATTCCCCTGTTCATGCTCACAAGTCTCACAAAGAAGATACTTCTTCAGTCAGGTCAGGACCATCTGTGTTGGACAATCATCCTTGCTCAAATCTGATCCAGGCTGTCCACAGAGCATAGCCTACCATCCTCCAGCAAGAGCAATGCCCTGCAGCTGAGCTCACCTTGAAGGTTGATGGTATCCTGCTGTAGGTTACATCCTCCAGCTCAGGAGATCCCCCAATGAAAAATCTCCTCAGCTCAGCAACTGTCCCCAGCTCCACAGGACGCCAGGTGGGAATGGTGAGCACGTGGAGACCTGACCCAGGACAAGAGGACAGCTTAGTGCTAGGACCAACAACCCATTCAGAGTGAGAAAGAGCAGCATGGTAGATGGATACCTACTGCCCCAAACCACAGAAGGGTGGAAATGGAAACACTGCACAGGATCTCTAGAACATCTTCCCAAGGAGTCAGCCCCACCCAGTCACACAGCTAGGACCCCCTGGCCACGAGGAGCATCTTCTCACTACACGTGAGTGTCACAGAAGAGTTGTGACCCTCAGATTCCATGTGGGACAGAGGGGGCTACTGCTATTGTAAGGATGGACACACAGCATCACCCCAGGGCTTTATCACACCAGACTTTGTAATGGCAGCGCTGAAGGACCAAGAACAGCAACACATGATGCATCTCAACATTACAGCTGAGTGGTGTGGGATGCATGGAATCCTTTGCTGCCCCACAGAGAGCTAACTATCCCCTTCAGTATGAAAAGGATTCAGCCTCCCAGCTGACACCATTCTCAAGAGAACCACTCAACTCATCCTCCCAGACAATCAACACAACGTCCCCAGTATGTTTTACCTGGAGATGCTGGCAGCACCAAGGAACCGTATCCTTCAACACGGTACCTCTGCCAGAAATCCATGGAAAGGACCTCAAAGTAAAGAACAGGCCACTGTGGGAGACTGTCTGCAAGGAAGGGAGCAGATCACAGCTTTGTGAGGGAGACCATCACAGAGGAAAGAAAACACTGAACACCCAACCTCATCAGTAGGAAGTCCTTTCTGTATTTCTCCTAGAATGACTAACCTAGGGGTACGGGTGATTGATTATCCCAGCAAAAGCAGAACCCTCAGATTTGAGGATAAAAGCAGAATTATTGATGTTAACAATCATGGAAGTTTGTTTTGAGAGCAAATCCAAACTGGCTCCTCAATAATCTCTGAGCAGACAAGACAATCTTTTGTGAATTATCTGATGCCAAACAGGAGAACCTTTTTTATCTCTGACCTTTTTCACACTATGGGGGATGATTAACTTGGATTCTCCTAGAGGTTTTCAAGAATTTCTTTTTTTCACAGTGAAACAAATTTGTGTTTATTCTAGGCTGAAAATTAATTAAGAGCTGGTTGAATCCTCAAATCTAATGTGTTTGTTGGATTCAAGTGGCTGGACATGCCACAAGGCTGCCCCCAGCAATTGCAATCCAAAGAGCACTGGGGCTGCTGAGGAAGCAGCAGGAGGGTGGTGGAGCAGCAGGAGGGTGGTGGAGCAGCAGGAACAGGCAGCAGAGAAGCCCAGCTTAAAACAGAGTTGGAAGTTTCAAAGTGACATGAACTATACAAAGATTACACAGGTCACTGAGCGTGTCTACAAACGTCAGACTCAGCGTGGATTTAGTGCTGTGCAGAAAATCTGCCTGTTCCTTCTGCTGCAGAGTCCCAGGGCTGTGTGCAGCACACAGCATGCCAGGCTTTTGGAGACAGACAAGCAAAGATCCAAGGAGTTCTGCAACTGGATAAAGCCTGGAATCAGGGAAACATCAATGGATCACAGAATCATGATGGTTGGAAAAGACCATTAAGATCAAGTCCAACCATTCCCCCAGCACTGCCAAGGCCACCACTGAAATATGTCCCCCAGTACCACATCTACATGGCTTTGAAGTCCCTCCAGAGATGGGGAGTCCATCACTTGACCACCAACGTGGCTTTGCTGGGCAGGGCAGATACAGTATGTGTCCAAAAGCTGCGTGTGTCAGGGTGAACATCTGAACCAACAATAATTCTCTCTGTTTAAATCTGTCCTTTCATCTTGCTGAGGGGTCACCAAGATGCCAGACAGTGTGATGCTGCTGTAAGAGGAGTGCAGAGCTTCAGACTTCAGAGCAATAAGGAAACACACCTTCTGATTCATCTCCCTGGGTGAAAAACATCTCCAAAGTGAAGAGGTAGCAGAAATATGCCACATTTTCCTGGAAAAGGAACAGACAGACATCAGATCCCTGGAGAATTCATCACTAGCCTTGCAGAGGGCACAGAGAGCAGGGAGAAAAGAACTAATTGGGGAAAAGAGGTAATGATGCCCAAACAAGATCCAACTCATCACACCACCAAACACCTGACTGCAGGATGGACCTGCACATGCTCCCCATTGCCATGTTGATGGAACAAGTTGTTAAAAGTAATCACAGCATCACAGAACTGCTGGAGTTAGAAGGGACCTCTAGAGACCATCTAGTCCAACTGTCCCACTGAAGCAGGATCACCCAGAGCACTTTACCCAGGGCTGCATCCAGGTGGGTTTGGAATATCTCCAGAGCTGGAGACTCCACAGCCTCCCTGGGCAGCCTGTCCCAGGGCTCTGTCACCCTCACTGTACAGACGTTTTTCCTCATATTTCAAAGGAACTTCCCATGTTCCAACTTGCACCCATTGCCCCTCGTTCTGACACTGGGCCCTGCTGAGAAGGGCCTGTCTCCATCCTCCTTGCACCCACCCTTTAGATACTTGTAACCATTGATAAGGTCTCCCCTCAGCCTTCTTATCTCCAGGCTGAACAGTCCCAGCTCCTTCAGCCTTTCCTCATCAGAGAGATGCTCCAACCCCCAGTCATCTTCATCACCTCCTCCTCCTCCCTCCAGTATCTCCCTGTCTCTCTTGAACTGGGCAGCCCAGAACTGGATGCAGTGTTCCAGATGAGGCCTCAATGAAATAGGGGAAAGTGTAACAAACTACAAATGACAATTCAGCCAGTTGCATTATGACCACACCACCACAATATTTACAGAAGACAAGCAAAACACCTTAGGCAATGTTATTACTCACATGTTGCATGAGAATTATTTTTGGAATATGCAAACTAGCTCACATAAAATACATTAAAATTTGATAAAATTATAATTTTGTGAAAGATGAGTTGGTTCCATTGCTGTCTCCAGCTTCCCAGATAGGAGGAAAGGTTCATTTTTAGAGATCAATTTAGAAAACATGAGCATTCCTTCAGAAGGAAGAAAAAGCCTGACATTTTGTTAACCGAGAAGCTGAGAACACACAAATCAGAGCTCCAAAGTTCCAATCAGCCAGAAGGAATTAAAAAGTGAGGTTCCAGGAACTGCTTTGAAGCAGTTTCATTTGGTCCAGTTTTAGTTGGACATAATGGCACCCTAAAAAATGGCAAGTACAACCAGGGTAAGAAAGCCAGACGTGCTCTGCCCTTGAAAGGAGCTCTCAAGGCATGACCTTTGCTGAATGTATCTGCAGCTTGTTACCCAGGTTCCATGTCAGTTTCATGTTCAACTTGCTCTGCAGGTCTGAAAAAGTCCTTACCCAGCCCACTGTCTTGGTGGCACAGGTCTGTGTCACTCCTGATAGTTGCTGGAATGCAGGGCTTGACCATTCTGGAAGAAGAGAAGGTGAATGTTCTGGGTGAGAGGGAGGACTCACAAACCAGAGCTCCAAGGAGAAGGTTAGTCCCAGATGACTGGGATAACAGATAACATCACCCACACTGAATCTCCCTAGGTGTGTCCCACCCATGAATGAATTTTGGGTAAACTGCTGGACAGCATCACCACTGATGGAGAAGCCAGTGGATGTCTGTGTTCCAGACAGAAGATGCTACCTTCCCCCAGACATGAGTTTAGTTCAAACAATTGAGTTACACCTCTGACTAGATCCCAGCCCCAAGATTAGCTTCTACTGACTTCCAGCAGAGCTGATCTGATGGACCAGCCAAAAGGTGCTGCATTCCCTCACCTGCTGTGATAGGGCTGGAGATGTGGGTACTTACGCTTAGGCAGCTCCAGGAAGAAATGAACATAGAGGTTGTCATACTCATATCCTTGAGCTGAAACTGAGAAGAGAGAATGAACTTCAGCTGCTCACTTCCACATGATCTCCTCCAGTGCTCCCCATACACTTTTGGGAGAGCCAGCATCAATAACCTCAGGGACAACCTGTGACTGCTGGAAGCTGGGAAAAGTTGCAACCCTCAACAACAGAATATGACCCTCAGAGAAGGTTCCTTCTCTAGACTAGCCCTGTTCCCATATCACTGACCAGATTAGGGAAGTCACACATCTGATCACTTTCTTTGCTATAATCTCTATTAACTTCCCAACATGCTCTCCTTTTTTTGCAGATCTCTGGGTCTTCCTAGAGCAGCTGCAGTATTTGTAACTCCAATCTGTAAACGCTACTCAAGGGGTTAGTCTGCAAAAACAGGGGAGGAGAAGGAGGAAGGAAAGGATTCTAGGCAGAAAATCACCTACTCCAGACCGACCTGTGAGCCATGAATCCTTGGACCCTCTATAGCTTCAGCCATTCCAGCAGACCCAGATTTGCCCCTGGAGTTACTGTTGGTAACAAGAACTCACCTATTTCTCCATTCACAAAGAGCCGCAGTGAGCCAGGAAGAGTCTGCAAGGAGCAGATAAATGGGAGAGAGCTCAGTGCCCACTGGGGGAACCTCCATCAATCCCCTCCCAACAGGGTCCCACACAGACACCTGACAGATGTTTGTACTTGAATGATTCACTCAGCTGGCAAGGTGGGAGTCATGACTTCTTGTATCACTTCCCAGAAGTGAACAGTCCCTCTGGAGAGAGGGACTGTTGAGAGATCAAATTCCCAGTCTGCAGGGAATGGTGTAAATGGGTCTCTCTCAGACTTCAAGATGCCTTATACAATGTAATGAGAAGTCACTTGTGGAAATCAGTCCTGTTTCTCCTGTAATGTTCCTGCACTTGCCCAAGGCAGGAGAAGAGGGAACAGCACAGGACGAGCTGAGACACTCCACTGCAGTACACAGCTTTGGCAAACAAGAGTTGAGCAATAAAGATTGCAGGTAATTCAGTGAGAAGGGAAACTGTGCATGAGTGAAGGGGTGGGAGGGGCTGTTTACTTGAATAAAGCAGCACATAGATGTGCTTGGCATTCAAGAAGTTAACAGCAATCACTACCCAGAGAGATATAAACCCTCCTCTCTTCTCAAAGTCTTCTAGTCAAAGGCCTTCCAACCAGGCATGCAGGCTCCCACAGCCTGCAGCACTCACAGCCACAGGCTGGATCTCTGCAGGCCCCATATCCCTTGCAACCTGTGCCCTTTTGACTCATTTTTCTGTTGGAAGCCACAGGGTAAAAGCTGCCAACACAACTCAAAATGAAACAGCCTTTGGAGACTGTGGTACAAAGGGCAGCCATGCCAATCAGGCCAACAGCCCCCCAAGGCAGCAGGACTGAGGTCCCTGCTGGGTGCTGCTGGCAACTCACCATTTCAAATTCTGAGCCCACGAGGCCACTGAGATATTCCTTGTGCCGCCCGTACAGCTGGAAACAGGGAACAGCTGGATTAGAAAAAGTGCTCTTTTTTATTGTGTGCATTGTTACTTCTTGCAAAAATTGTAATGGATCAAACTTAAAACACATTTAAATTGTTGAGAGGCTTTGAATGCAGAGTTTTTAGTTGTTATAGCAGCTAGAGAGAAGCTAAGAACCTAATAGAATACAGATGCATAACAGCTAGTACTGCATGGAACTTCAGCTTCAGGGAAGACCTCATCAAAGGTCAATCTAAGGGAAA